GATCAGTGAAATCCAGTAAACTCAAGCTGGACAGAAAAGGATAGATTCAGGAGAGATGCTGATGCACTCCGATCATGAAGAGGAAAATGTTCCGTACGCTATGGAAGTTGCTCTGATGCTGTCCAAAAATGCACGTAAAAGACTTGTAGGATGGGGATATCATGGACCCCGGATCAACAAAGCATCATTCAAAACAAAGAAGGGGGTAATCACAATGAATGTTGTCCAATGTTACGTGTCCACCATTGATAGCAATGATGACGATAAGGATCAGTTATACGAGAGGCTGCAATCGATCGTAGTGAAATGATCAGGAAAGGATATGACCACACTGATGGGAAACCAAAACGCCAAAATCAGTAGACAAGCTAGAGGTGTTATCAAATCCTAGTGCTTATGAAGATATATTTGACTCACGTGTTATATAAAGTAAACTCATTAAACTCTCTTATATAATAACTCAGGGTCAGGGATCGCCATTGTAGTGACCTACTTTTATCAAGAGAACGCGATTGGTGTAATGGAAACAATTATTATTATAACCAATTGTACCAGGGATTGTTTCTCCACACTTGTTTGTTTAACCGTACCAAAATACGTACATTCTTCCGTTGATTATGACCCTGCACGAATTCAGTTACGCTCAGTAACCACACTTGTAACTTGGCACGATCTCGGTATTCTTCCGATACCACGAGATCGCCCACAAATACATCTCGACTACAGCCATCGACTGCGTTCTGATATTTGGCCTACGGGGGATCTTATCAATTAACTGGCACGTAGTCTTCCTGTAGTGGTAGTCATAGTCAACCACGACTCGACGCATCACCACACCATTATAACATTACTCTTTAAATATTGAGCTAAATATTATCAACAAATATACTGAAGAACATCTGGTCGACCTTCCATCATTATTGGATCACTAAATTATTTGATATACATCAGATAAACCATTTTGAGATTGAAATCATACAAAAAGCATTAGCTTAACCATGTGTTATGTTTATTTTTTAAATATTTGAGATTAATATGACAAAAGTGTATTGTAATTCAGTTGTTCATTCTGATTTACAATGACAAACCTCTACATCAAGTCGTATTTAGAATTATACTACTTAATCCTAATCAGTAGTTTGAGTTTCATGCAACCAATTTTATGTTTTGACTGTACTACAGTCTTTCTAACAAATAATTTGGTTCACAGTATTTGTCTTTTATTTTGGCACATTACTTCGTTCTCACATATTTAACAATATTTGTTCATCTTTTAAACGTTTATTCACCTTTATTTACTTTGGATTTCTCTTATTTTGAATAGGCTTCCTATATCCTGTTTATCGAACGTCAATTATTTTTGTGAATTACATTTAATTCCTAGTAACTTGACTGTGTTCTCCCCTTCTACATTACTCTTTTAAAAGCATGAATAGTTTACTTTATTTTCTGACTGTTTCAACTGTGAAATAATCTATTTAGCGCTTAACAATCGAATAATATTTGGACGTTTAGCACTTATAGTTTCTTGTACTTTGGTTTCAGGATTTTACACGAAACTACAACCATCATCAAGAAGGTTAAAGTATTTATAAATAGTTGTCTACGCAAGATACTCAACATCCATTGGCCGGATGTCATCAGCAACAGACTTCTGTAGGAGAGAACAAATCAACTTCCAGCTAAAGAAGAAATCAGGAAAAGACGTTGGGAATGGATAGGACAAACATTACGGAAATCAACAAACTGAATCAGGAGACAAGTGCCAACTTAGAATCCTGAACGGAAACGGAAAAGAGGAAGGCCAAAGAAGACACTACATCGGGAAATAGAAGCAGATATGAAAAGGATGAATAATAACTATAAAGGATTGCCAAGGACAGGGTTGGATGGAGAATGCTGATGGGCTGTCTATGCTCTTTCATGAGGAGTAACAGGCGTAAGTAAGTAATTGTACACGAAGCACAATCAATTGTACAGCATCCTGAAGTTGATTTTGGAGGAGTACTAAGTGAAAGAACTGGAACTCTTTTGCACCATCCATTCTTTAACTGATTAACATTTTAGTATTTATGTCACTCATCATTATTTTCAGTAGTCTGTACTATAAATCAAACATACTGTGGTTCTTGTTTTCTAAGAAACGTGTATGCCATAATGAAGGTTTGTGAAATTGTAGTAATTTATTGGTTGAATTCGTGAGTCGATTTAAAATAATATCTCTACATAAATGTGTCATTTGTTTGATTCAAAAATTAGTTCTTAGCTAATAACCTATAAATATTATTTCAAGTAAACCTTACAAATGAAAACTTAACTTCTACTATTCTTTGTAGGGGAACACAATAAGTAACCATTCAATTTATACTTGAACAAAAACTAAACAAAGAAATTCTTTGTTGGGATGATCCAGTAAATTTCTCTAATAAAGCCAAAAAAGGGTCTGAAAACGCTGAGAAATATCTTGTCTTGTCGACATTTAGTAGACGTTTTGCCAGAAACATTTATAAAGTAAGAAGTCACATGTCAGTGAAATATCACTGAACCCTGGCCGAATGGATCATCGATCCCCGTCAAAGTCAAGGATAACCAACGCGCGTCAGTTAATCGTATGCTATAGACTGGTTCATGCGGTGGTGGTCCTGTTGAACTATGGTCTACTATGGTATTAGTACTGCTCTAATAATAGACCTAATCCTAAAATTGTAGATTTGTCATGATATAACTGCCTAATCTATAAGATCTTACGTGGAAGTCACATCATCGACTACACCAACTCACTGTATCGTATCAATTACCAATACATGATGTAGAACAAGGTTAGGCTAGAGAAGGAACAATATATTTAATATGAATAGAAGATATAAGGTAATATTCAGATGGACCACGCCTGCATGGCCGAGCCATGCCAATCGATCAACCCCAGTCATTCAACTCATTGTTCGCGCCTTCTCCATTGTTAGGTATTTCTCCGCGTTAAATATTGAATATCTATTTTCTGAGTAGTCTCGTGTTTACAGCTTTGTGGACTGTGTGGCTATTGTCCAATGCCAGTACAGTCCTACTATCTTTTCTGTACTCATTCTTACTAATATATTTCCCTAATAACGTCCTTTGTGTTATACGGTCTTGAAAGGAGCCATATTACTTTGATACGTTGAAGGGGTAATCCATGATAGATGCTGACCGCGAGGTGTGACTTCGAAGTTAGCTAGTTTGTCACACCATTCCCGTCTAACTCGAGTAGGCCTCCAATCACTCTACATAGATAATCTGCGTTGGCGATCAACAGATATTTACCTACCTACTATGTTTAGTAGCGTTCCAAAATTTTCGGGAAACTCGAAGCTATTTAAAATACTGTAAAAATTCTAGATTTCCTCTACATGAATGAATCTTTAAAGTAAGGGATTTCTTCTATATTTCCAGCTTTTTCTCTCGTGTTCAAGTTGCTGTGTAGATTTATCCTCGGGGTTACTAGAAGAGCTTAGGAAATTGAATTTAGCGTTCATTTCGAAGACTTGTCATCCACAAAGCGATTCATTATAACTATTAAAAAATCATTCGTTATTACTTCATAAAATGTAAAATTCATTGAACATAATTTTAATTAAAACAATATCCAATTGACAAACATATGTGAATGTTTTCTACTACACAATCAAGTAATAACTAAAAATTAAAAAAAAGAGATGTATAGTTAGGTACAAAGTTGATCAATTACATTCAATAAATATTAGATCTATAAACAATAAATCACTTCTCATCTCTAAACGGTATCAATTTACGATAAATAATCTCAATCAATCAGTAAGTTAGCTAAAAGTAACTGCATTTTATCAGCGTCCTCATCAAACAAAACTGTGTCATCCACACATTCTAAGTGGACCTCCTAGAAGGAGATCGATTCCTGAAAATTCATTCGACGGGATCGTTATTTCCATCGATAGGTCTATGATGAAATTATACAGAAATGAAGATGATGGACAGACTTGCAAAAAACCGCATGAAGTTGCAGAATCAGATGACAGTTTGACATAAGGTCTGACTTGACTGATAGCATTCGAAAAAAGAAACTTCACATGGTTTGCGTACTTCTGAGGTACACCTCTTAATGACAGCTACTGCAGAAGAAAATCCAAGAAAAATAAAACAAGACAACTAACTAACGTTTCTTTAACTGATTATCAATTTGTTTATGAATAGTTTGCAATATGTCATGTGAAACTGAAATGTAAGAAAACAAATACAATCTAACTGACATCTAAATTCACAGGTATGAATAGTGAAATACTTGATAAGTTTTTGATTGAGATCATGAACCGATTGATGTCAGACCACTATTGAAAACCTTGAAGCACTGGACAGCTGTTTCGTCCTACTGTGGGACTCCCCAGAAGTGCGCATCCACGATCCCGCTCGCACGCGAACACTCAACCTATTGAACTAATGAGCCGGCGTCCAATGGTGTTAATGTATAACCCCAACCAATCCACAAAATTGTGCGGCCATCTTCCATTGTACTGAGGTAGATACCTGTTTCTACAGGACGAGGATTAACACCACTGGTCACGAATTCTCACCAGAACTCCGAGAATTTTCTCACGAAGCTAGTCATTAGTGAGCACATGGTAGATTAATGAAAATCAAATAGTGAGTACATCTATAATGTCAGTGATAATATAATCTTTGAGAGAAATAATTCACATTCACTGTGTTTGTTGTTACAATCAACAACTATGTCAGTGTCTGTTCCCGTTTGAATTAAACTTCTCAAATATCATACGAGTAACAAAAAGTTCAGTTCTAATGGTCTAGTCTAACATGAATTGTATTCTCATGTTTCCATATCTTCATTTATCTTCATGTTCTAATTGACTAACTGACTGAACATTTCTCAATGTAGTGATAGTATGGATTCATATGACTTGGTGAACTGAATGACAAGTATTTGTCCATTATTTTAAAAATCTACCTGAATAATTTCTCATCTGTCATAATCAATGTACATCCAGAGAAGAATTATTATACTCACATAAATAAATGTTACATACACGTATTCTACCATATCGATCTCGTAGTAGACCATCAAGTCTACGGAAATTGTCATGTAGTTGTTGATTATCTGTGAACAATGAAATATATAAATGTAATTTATGTATTAGAATGTGTATGGATGACAAAGATAGGTATATTCATTAAGAAAATTTACCTCGAATATTGTTAGAATTGGGTAACTGACAATTTTCATTTCTGTAGTCATTCTCCAATTCTGGATCGGTGTGAGAATGAAAGTACAAATGTTACAGAAAATATTAAAATTATATGGATTTATAATATTCGTTTGTAGAATCGCCCAATCTATAAACGATAAGTTAACCACCATCATCATCATTATTCGAAAAATAATTTTGAACGAATAGAAATGACTTAGAAGCTACTAGGCGAACAGTCTGAATAGATCCTTCGCAAATACATCAGTCAAGTTTTATACACTTCGAATGAGCCCCATTAGTCACCTCCATCTATCTAATATAAGGGCAGCATATAGCACAGGTGTCTTAGCTCGGAAAATGAAAGTAGTTCCAGGTTTGTGGTTTAATGATGTCTTGGCTTTTGTACATTCTCCCAATCCTTCTGTAGACACGTGGTGGTGTCTTTGTAGCTCGGCATTATTCTGGTCGAGCTCTAAGGAGTTATCAGTTCTGATTAGGCTGCAGCTGTTATTAATCGAATGCTCTGCTAGTTTTATTGTCACTATAAGATCTAACCCTTAAACGTCGAATGCTGGAATCTTTATAAAGTATACTGTTGCATTCATTCTCACATTACCTTTAGAAACAGTACAAGATACCCCTCCAACAATATTTAACTTCCCACCAGGTGCATTGTGTTTAGTTGTGTTGTTGGATAAACTGCGGGTCTCTCAATATTCCTCCAAGTTTCTGGGCTGGCCAGAGTAATATCAGATACTGTACGAAGTTGAAGACGAGTACTTTGTTTATTGATATCCAAAGTTAGATACTTTCTTTGGGGGTAAATTCGTAATCGGTTATGTGATAACAAGATTCTGTTAGTTTCTGCTTCGGATCTGTACTTTTCGAAGCAAGGTTTCGAAGAATGTCCTTTATGGGTTTTTTCTGCAGCTTGTGACGAGAATATAATTTGTGAACGAACCAATCGGATATAAGATAACGAGTCACGAATTCATCCATACATTCGGCTAAATAGAGTTTTGGCATTATAGCTGATGTCAGTTTGTGATGAAAACCCTAAATCTAATTTTTCACCATAATCGTCAACAGTAAAAGAGAATTCTAACTGCATTACAACCCTCATTTAGTCCTAATTAGTAGATGCTCACTCTCAAGGTCACTTCAGCGTCGCTCAAATTGTAGTCTTACCCCACTTATTTCTTTATGACCCTTGCGATGACATTTAGTGCGACAATATTCTCTGTATGGGCAGGACCTCTTACAATGTCAATCTCCACATTGCCAGCATGGAGATGAGGGCTGATTGTCTGTGTGCGATAATTTTCTTGAGCCAGAATCTTCCTTTTTGCTTACAACATGGACGTATGGCGGCCGGGTATTATTTTTAATCATGATGTCGTATTACAAGTTACTCAATCTCTGACACTCCGTCCCAATCTCCAAACTTTGGAGAAGTATTGGTGAATTTCCCCAGGTTTGGGGAAAATTTGAGGAAATGGCATCAAAACCCCAAAATTTCGCCAAAGTTGGGAGCTCAAGGTGGTTATTTCCTGTAGCGTTATGTTCGGGCATTGTTCCATTTTACTCAGAAATCTGGTTCTATTATCAGCATCTTCGGGAGATTGGAGACCGTATACAAACACGAGACACTTAAACTGATCTGCTGTCACTGTTGATACTTTAAACCGCTCACATTCACTTTTTAGTAAATCTGCATGTTTTACCTGGTCATTATTACCGGCTTTTATTATCTTGAGGCACTGATAGCGGATAATAAACTAAAATGACGTTTCAGTAAAGACTTCCAACAAGATATCAATTGTTGCATTAAAAGAAAAATCGGTGAGACTATAATTTATGGATGGTCTTTGAGCGACGCTAAAGAGACCTTGAGAATGTTAACCTACATACTACGGCTAAATGAGGGTTATAAACCAGCGTGAGAAATTAGAATTAATATTTACAGTTTATGGTTAGTATTAGGAATCAGATATAGGGTTTTCATCACGAAATGACATCGGCTATGATGCCGGGACTCTATATAGCCAAATGGATGCGTTAATTTCGTGCCAAAATCCAAAACCTGTTATCTTACATGTGATTGGTTCGCCCATAAATTATAGTCTCGCTGAAAAATCTCATGGGTTCTTTGGAACGACGCGATTACTCTAACATTCGTTTTCAACCATGCTAAGTATTCGTATCAGAGTTCTGATCTTGACTGCGTCACCAGGTTTTTGGAGGTCGACCTTGAACAAATATTCGGGCTTCTTGAACCAGAATTCAAAAGTAATACCAGCCAAACCATCGAAATTAAATTCATGGATAGAATGAATGATGGAATCGGTATGTGAATTACATGAATAATCAGCAAGTCGTTTATGACTAAGATTCATTTGTTGCGTTAGCATCTCCCGGACACTCACTTCGAACTATTCGTACAGCTTTTCCTGGAGTTCAAGCATAGCTTTTGAATGTTTAAGAGTAATTGGTGCTACTATTGGTACATCCCATCGCCAGTGTCAGGTTAGTTACTTGTTTAAAACAGAACAAAAAATACAACAACGGCACTCGAGCGTATAGAACCCCACAGTTGCAAACCACAAAATGGAAGAAGACTACTGCAGTGCTTGTTGGGTAATAATCAAAATGTATAAGAAATCATGAGTAGTTATAGATATCAGCGTCTGTTATACCACCATTATGGCGCATCAAATCCACAAAAACGTATATTATACCACTGTAAAAAAGTGTCATGTCACGTTGATAACCTGGAAAGCTCCATAAAGTTCTGAGCGGATGGATAACCTTCAGCTCCTTTATGGACTATGAAGGCAACGTCATAGTTCCCAGAAGCCATCCCAACAAACATCGTTAAATAATTCAAAGGAAACATGTGTGCCAAACACTCGTTAGTAAGTATTCACACTCACTTGTATAAACCGACTGTTCTTCAGTGAAACACTTCTTCATTATATCAGAATTTCGAACAGGTATTACTACAATTCAATAGTCAAATAAGAAGGTTTACATTCGGTAAGATTACAGAACCACAACTATGTAGCACAGAGAGTTCTTCATCACAGACATTCAACCACATTACAGAAACATTCACAAGTAAATGGAGTGTTGATGTCAAGTATATTAAATGATGATTGTGTTCCCATACAAACTGCATTTATCATCAACACATTTCAAATATTGTGAAAATGTTGATGAAGTGGCATGAATACCGTTTCAGCTGTCAAACACGATCAGTACACTGGAGGAAATTACACATACCATGTATCTTTTCTTGTATTGTCATTTCATTGATTAACTCTAAACATTGAAGGAGAAGAGAATTTAAAGTAGAAATGAAACACGCTGAGTGAGAGATAAACTCGAGTGATAAATCATGTTTCACTATTCTATCATTCATTTATTTGTTTATTTGTTCCGAAATCTTTTATTCGTATGTTCATCACATCATTCCGACGATTGATGTAAGAATTTAGGGACAAACATTGAAATACAATAATGTTGAGATGCTTATCACGAGACTTGGTACGAGGCAATATCGGTATTTGTATTGGTGTGAAACCACCAGTTTGACATGTACCCATTCAGCAAACTCTCTCTCTCTGTGTGTGTGTGCGATCACCTCATCTGTATGCACAATTGATGTGAGTTGGTCGGATGTTGAGTGTGTTTGTTGTGAAACACTCAAATACTATCGAACTCCATGCACACTGTTGCCATGTTTCATGTTACATGTTGTACAGTTGAGTCTAGCTACACATCCCATGTCTGTACCCTATATATACCTCAAATTTTCATATTAATAATCAAATCATCAGATGTATAAATACTTCACACATACATCACCATCGTCAACAACAAAAACAATTTGCAGACGATGGAATTCATCAATGCCGAAGTGAAATACATTCGGTACACACTGACCTCCCATGAGTATCTTTTGTTCAATAGATTGATAAAGTTTACTTCTGCACATCATATCTACAATCATCAGATAAATTTGTTTGATTAATTCATGTTTCAACATACATTGATCAATTGATTGATGTTCAGTTGACAATTCCATATTGATTTCATCTGAAAGATGAACGATAAGTGATAAGTTGTATCTGCATTTAACCGACAATACGATCATTTATCTGTTAATTGCTTACCCGTCTATGCTGTATACATTTCTACTTGCTTAAATGAACTTACTTCTCACATCTTGTATTTCTTTCTGTTTTGTTCTGAATCTCTTGATTAGTCCATCTAAATGTTCTACAATTTAGAAATCGATGGAATGAGAACAACAATAATTATTAGTACTAAATGATGATTATCTGGATATGATGCATTGCATTCTATTTTAGGAATACAGATTGAAATAGCATTCATCAAAATGTTCAGCTAACTATACTTGTGGATTCGAATCTTTCTAGTAAAATAATAATTGTCCGAATGTAATTCTTATAGACTGTGACGAATAGGTTGTTAGAGTTAACCTCTTCAGATCTCGTTTTCACGGTTTTCTTTTCTTTCTTCTCTTTTTTCTGTTTTCCCGTAATTTGTAAAAGAAACTCGCTGAGAATTCTATATTGTATCCGAAATATAATACTGAATGAAGCCAATAATAGCAATAATAATCGTTTGAAATAGTGCAGGTGCATCTACTCTTTGTGTTCTGCCAAATTCTAATCTTCTCAATTCTTCATATCCCTTTCTTGTTTTTCTCTTTCAAAATTTATTTCACTGGATTATACCCATTGAATAACATATTCAAACCCTGATCTTTCCCATTACTGTTTATGCTCTTACTACCTATACCACTATGAGATTTGGATGGACTATTGTATCTTTGTGCTAATGGGGGTATGGTAACTCGAACTGATGTACGTAGGTACGTGCGTACGACGTTCTACGTTGTTACTGACTGACTGACTGACTGACTGACTAACTGAATATCTGTTGGACCTAGATCAAATATTACAATTTCATTTTTAATATACGAAATTAATATGCTTCATAAAATGTAGTGGATAGGATAGGATAGATAAACATGATATATTCAACGTACGTTTACAATTTGTTATTGCCATTTCTACATTAGATTTTCTCTCTTCTAAATTATCTGTAAACATGGTGAAATGGATAATTCTCAACCATCCATATGAATGGTGATTTTTTGAAAAATAAATTCAGTTTCTATGTAAATGTGATCCACTATGAGTGACGTATTCATCACACGTTACAATCGATTACATTCAACTTGTAAGAATAAACATGTCAATCATATGTTCACTTCCTCAATAGTTTCTACCTATTTGTGTGGTCTGTATGACGAATTCAAATCTGAATGATATTTTCACAAGGATAAATTTGATGTGTAGGAGAGAATGGTAATGATTATTTGTTTGCTTAGTCAGACATGTAGATAGTCTGACAAGTGTTAGATGAGTTAAATATACCCCAATAATTATTAATAATTGTTATTGGTTGTTCATTGTTGTTAGATTGTATCGAGTTTTTGGTGTGGAAATATATTTATACTCTAGTCAGGCTAATCAAGAGTTCTTGATCTGAGTTTTGTTGAAGTCCTATAGAATAGACACTGTGAGAGAATTGAGTGCACATATTCACTTAAGGTAAATTAACATCTCATACGTGTAGACGAAGTAAAACCGAGCGTTATGACATTGGCGACGGTGGTTGAAACTGATCTGAGCCTATATATTCACTTAAAGTGAATTTCGAAATACAATGGATGATCTGGAATCTTCATTGCAACAGCGAAATTCTCTTATCCAGTTACTAGTCAAGAAAATGTCAGTATCCTGAAGAACTCAGGTATCTGATTCCACTTTGACTCCGGATTCTATTGCCAATTCAATCAATGAATTTAGATTTGATCCAGAAAGTGGGATTACCTTTGAGACATGATTTAAGCGCCATGAGGATTTGTTTATCAATAATTTTAAAGAGTGGGACAAAGGTTCGAAGTTCGGAGTTTCTGACCATGAAAAGTTCTGCAATTTTATGTGCCCAAAGAAGCCAACCAACATTGCCTTCATAGAAATAGTAAAATGCCTGACACGTATATTTGGTGGACGATCATCAGTTTCCCACACTATACACCAGTGTCTTCAGCTTGTAAAAGAACCACAGGACGATTTTGTGTCATATAAAAGCATCGTGAACCGGGAATGTGAGCGGTTCCTGTTTCAAGAAATATCCTCCGATCAGTTTCAATGCCTTATTTTTGTCTGTGGGTTATAATCTGCAGTAGATGCAAACATCAGAACACAGACTTTAGCGAGGATCAAAACAAGGTCCCAATATCAGTCTGAAACCAGTTTCTGAAGATCGTCAAAGAATGGTGAATTTGAAGCATGATACAAATCTAGTAGAAAGGAACAGTGGATTGGGGAAGTTAGTGTCTTACGTAAATCTTTTAACGGAAATAAGAATACTTACTCCCGGCGAATCCCAAAACAAATGAAACCCAAATCTTGTTGGCGATGCAGTGAGTGGCATTCTGATAATGTTTTCTATTTTGAAAAAGAGTTTGTTTCCGATATGGTAAATATGGTCATGCTCAAGTATGCTGTAAGAGTGGGAAAAAGATTGCCAACCACAAGCATATGTTCCGCAAAGGAAATAAGACGCGGACATCAAAAGACATACCACATAATTCGAATGTTGGTTTGGCTACAAAAAGTGTTCGGTTCTCATCTAAAAGGGAGTATGTAACTATCTTTCTTAATGGTAAACCGGTTAAGCTGCAAGTTGATACGGGGTCTGACATAACATTAATTTCTAGAGAGACTTGGATAAAACTTGGTCGACCTCAATATCAACCTACATATTATAACGCTAAGAGTGCGACAGGAACAAACATTACTCTTCTTGAAGAAATTCAGCTGCCTCTCACATTCGGTGACAGGACTATGATCGGAAAATGTTGTATTTCTGGGAACTGTCATACCAACCTATTAGGTACTGATTGGATGGATAAATTTGTTTTGTGAGATCTACTGTTGAATACACTGAAAGGAAAATCCCAGCCATGGCCAGAGATAGACAAGCCTTGTATTCGAGAACACATCGATTATGCTGAACCAATAAATGGACCATATTTTCGGTGGTGGTAGATTCATACTCAAAATGGCCTAAAATTTATGTTGTGCGAAGACCGTCTACTTCTCAAACACTGTTACATCTCAGACAACTATTTAGTAGGTTTGGGACACCTAATATTTTGGTTTCAGTTAACGGGACACAATTAACGTTGTCAGAGTTTGCGGAGTTCTGTAAACAAAATGGAATTGAACATATTAGAATCCCACCGTATCACCCTCAGTCAAAAGAGCAAGCAGAAAAATTTGTTGATATTCGTAAGCGAGCTCTTTTAAAGATTGAAGGAGATGATAACGTAGAAGAAACTCTGCAACAGTTTCTAATTTCTTACAGAATTACACCTAGTCCAGAGTGTCAAGACGGGGAATCACCAGCCGAAATAATATTTGGCCGACCAATTACGACATTTTTGATGTTTTGAACCCGTAAGACAGAATAAGTGGACTACAAAATAATAAGAAAGGGAATTGTCCGGAGAATCGAGAATTTGAAGCCGATGACTTAGTCTATGCACGTAAATTTCGGCTTGGCAAGCCAAAATGGATATTTAGGTGTATAAAAAAAGACGTAGGGTTGTATTTTATGAAGTGATTGTCGAAAGTAGACTAATTATTAGACACATAAGTCAACTGAGAGATAGAAAAAAAAATGTTTTTCAGTCATCTAAACCCAAACTTTTACCAATGGAAATATAATGTGATACATTTAATATTCCACCACTAAAAGTTCAAATGAGAAAAAAGAAACTGAAATCAGAAAGTAAGGCGAAGGTGATCAGAGGAACGGAACCAAACGAGATTTTTTTTCAAATAGACCCCAAAGTAAAGTCATACGATCGAAATTCTCACCCATACATCAATAAATCAAGTGCATCATACTATCTAAAGTGCCAATAGAAGTATATCATTAGAGATTTCACTAAAGAAGAAAGTATAATAGGATCGACATTCAGAACTAAATTTCAGTTACTGTCTTTCAATGAATCAATTGAAAGAACTAACAATAAATAACAAATAAAATCTAAGATAAATAAAGCAAGACAACTAACTAACGTTTCTTTAACTGATTATCAATTTGTTTATGTATAGTTTGCAATATGTCATGTGAAACTGAAATGTAAGAAAACAAATACAATCTAACTGACATCTAAATTCACAGGTATGAATAGTGAAATACTTGATAAGTTTTTGATTGAGATCATGAACCGATTGATGTCAGACCACTATTGAAAACCTTGAAGCACTGGACAGCTGTTTCGTCCTACTGTGGGACTCCCCAGAAGTGCGCATCCACGATCCCGCTCGCACGCGAACACTCAACCTATTGAACTAATGAGCCGGCGTCCAATGGTGTTAATGTATAACCCCAACCAATCCACAAAATTGTGCGGCCATCTTCCATTGTACTGAGGTAGATACCTGTTTCTACAGGACGAGGATTAACACCACTGGTCACGAATTCTCACCAGAACTCCGAGAATTTTCTCACGAAGCTAGTCATTAGTGAGCACATGGTAGATTAATGAAAATCAAATAGTGAGTAGATCTATAATGTGAGTGATAATATAATCTTTGAGAGAAATAATTCACATTCACTGTGTTTGTTGTTACAATCAACAACTATGTCAGTGTCTGTTCCCGTTTGAATTAAACTTCTCAAATATCATACGAGTAACAAAAAGTTCAGTTCTAATGGTCTAGTCTAACATGAATTGTATTCTCATGTTTCCATATCTTCATTTATCTTCATGTTCTAATTGACTAACTGACTGAACATTTCTCAATGTAGTGATAGTATGGATTCATATGACTTGGTGAACTGAATGACAAGTATTTGTCCATTATTTTAAAAATCTACCTGAATAATTTCTTATCTGTCATAATCAATATACATCCATGTCAGATATATTTCACTCCCAACTTATATTCCTGTATGCATAATGGAATGCAGTGTGCGTGTGT